ACCCGCCCAAAGTCATTAAAAGGAAGCTCACGGATCTGTGGACCCTCAAAGTCCAGAGCGAGGTCGCGCATAGGAAAGGAGTGCCGTCCGACTTCAATTGGGACCGAAATTTGACCATTAAGACCTTCCAGGAATTCCTTGGATGGGAGCAACGTGTGCTTGCCCCTTACCTGGTTGGAGCCATCGCTGTCAATGCAGCCACAGCAAAAGCCGGCCAAGATGCGGGCCGTCTTTGCGAAGTTTGTGGACAGATTGACACTCACGACCATAGGTTTTTCACATGTGAAGTGTGTGAGCCGTTTAAACAGGAACATCCAGACATTTTCGCATTTGTGCGGATGCAAAGACCCAGGTGGGTCTTTTTTATCAGCACAAGGACACATCCGACCTCTTGCAAGTGTGGCGAACTCGCACTGCTCCTGAACCGGTTCGTCCTACTGCTGTGCCGTTTTTGCGTTTCTATACCGACGGTTCGTGTTTGAACCCTTCCATCCCCACCGCACGGAGAGCGGGATGGGCTATAGTGCAGGACACCTCTCAAACCGATGAAGAGAGACTTTCTTGCCTTGCCAGGTTGCACGATCACCAGCATTCGTGCATGAGGGTCATGTGTACATCCCTCACTGACCAGGACCAGACTATCAATCGTAGTGAACTCAGAGCTGTGTGCCAGGCTCTTAGAAGTTCTCTTCTGGTTGAATTCCGTCATTGCGATATTTTCTCTGACTCGCAGTATGCATGTAATTGTGTTGCAAAATATTGCGTTGGGAAGTGCCCGGTCGACAGCCCAACAGCGATATTTTGACTGAAATGCAAGCCATCTGGGCCCCAGATCGGCACCGCTTGAAATGGGTTCGAGCCCATCGCTGCTTGAGTGAAGCAAGGGATTCGGTTGAGGCGTGGGATATCCTCGGCAATCGCCTTGTTGATTTTGCAGCCGGCTCAGCCCTTCAGACAGAGCAGCCAATAGTCGTTGCCACCGTTAATGCCCTCGCTGGGCATATTGAGCAAGAGGCCAAAATGCTCCGAGGTACATTCAGATGCATGATCTCCATCAGTCTTGCCAAAGTTGACAGACTCAGAAACATTTCCAAGCGAAATGAGACCGCTATCGTGAATTCGTCCTTGCCGCCGGATGCAGTCTCAGACAGGCTCCGTATTGCTGCAGGAGACTGCAGTGCGATCACAGCACTTAAATCGTGGGAAAATGCCGAGGCGGTACCCTTGCCAACCACTGTTTTAGAAGAAAAACGAGCGCAATCCGTTGCTTCGGGAGTTGATGCCGCCGTAAATGTTTGGAACTGGTTGCATACCCTTAAGTGGGCCCCTTATGACCAACCCCGGGTTGGCGATTGGGGTATCTCAATGATTGAATTGTACGCCAACTACGTTGAGGTAACGCAACAGTTTCTGCCCATCTCGATTCGTGAATGCAGTGCTGAAGAGCAGAAATACTGCGACTTCGTGCCGTTTCTTTCCGAGGCTGATAGGCTGCTACCCGCGAGTGCTAAAACTATCGCGAGACAATCGGAGTTGCTCGGTCAAACCATGAACTGCAAAGTGTCACACCGCACCGCTTGTTTTGTGGAACCAAAGTTGTTAAGGCTAAATCGCTGCAGATGCTAGGAGTGAACGCTAGCTTTGGAGGGTTCGCCACGCGTCCTGTCCTTCAGAGACAACCCGAAACCATAGAAGCTTTGCGCGTATTCCTTGTTCAACACGAGTCTCATAAGCGCATCCCACATGCAATATACAAACCTGAAGGCAAAACTCCGCTGTATTTGCCTGTCGCACACGGCTTTGTCGATGTGCCCCCTGCCAAGAGAAGGGCGCTCCGTGTGTATTGGAAAAAGCACATTAAGCTCGGGCGAGCTTGGCCGCCCGCGGAGTAGTCCTGGTGTGCTTCCAACCACTTGTCCTTTCTTGCAGATGACTATCTTCAAAGCCCCGTGAAAAGCAGATGTCCTCTCCAGTTCATGAAGTGACTCACCTCGCCACGATGGTTTGGTATGGACTGACTCGATGGCCGATAGAGGCATCCTCCTTTGCAATTAATTCACGCTCAGATGCTCAGATTCGGGATTATTTTGCAAGGGCTTGGAATCCGGGACGGAATCAGGATGACATCAGCACTCTAGGGTGTCCGCTCGGATGACGTTGCTCGTCGGGTGGCCATGGCCTGTTTGCACTACATCGGCATGGAGCTATGTCTGGTACAACAGCACTTCCCGGTGTATTTGGGGAATGTGTTATCCTTGCCATGGCGTATCATGCAATGCCAGATGGCCTGCTACATTCGACCCGGCCCAACAACCGAGGCATTGGGCGGCCGTGGCGGCCGGCCGGGCCATATCCGATATCTTGCTTTGGCCACTTCTCTGTGGGCTTTTTATGAGGTTGCACATGTATTTGTTTGCGATGCATCGGCATGATGCCCAACCTTACACGGTGCCACTTTCTGGCTTCACTATGGGAGTGGCTTATCCATGGACGAGTATGGGATGCCTCAGCATGTTTCACTTGGAATTCACAGGTATTTCTCAGACGCCGGTGTCACCTGAGTCACATTTGCCCGGCAACCAAAGGTGCCGCTTTGCGTTCTGAGATGTTTGGGTCGTTTCGCTTTGGCCGGCCATCCCGCCCCTGGTGCTCCCCTGTTTCTCTTTTTTGTTTGGCTTTTCTGTTGCGGTGGTTGTTTCTCTGTTTTGTGTTGGTGTTTCCTTGTTTGGGGTTGGGACGGACGAGGACCATTTTTTGTTCTGTAAATCCGACTTTGGTCGGTTCAACGGCGCAACAATGGTTGCGCCTGTTTTGCTGGCGGGAACCAGACTTCGGTCGTGGCCCGTCCAGCGCGAAGCTCGGGGTCCGCAAATCTGTGTGAGTCAAAGCAGGAGAGAGCAGAGCTTTGGTGCCGTGCTGTTTGCAGCTGGCCACTCAACACATGGACGCAAGCATACCTCATGAGTCAGCTATGCTGCAGGGTTGCAAGCACTTGCAAGCTATGTACGCTTGCTTGAGTGCGGCGAACTGGGACGCTGACAAATTCCTACGAGCAGCGCAGAAGTTTCTGTTGCTCATGCGCACCTTGGAAAGTTTCTTTGGGGAAGATATTTTGTTTCGAGTGAAGCCCAAAGGGCACTTACTTCTGGAGCTGGCTAGGTCCAGAACCAATCCTGCGCACACTTGGACATATCGAGATGAGTCGTTTGGCCACACATTGGCATTGCTGGCCAGACGAAGAGGAGGAAAGTTTTCCATGGCAGCAGTTTCCAAAGCGACATTGCTGAGATTTCTTGCTGCCAACAAGGTGCCTAGACTGGACATGTGAAGTATATAGCGCCGGGCAGCGAGCTTCGGAGGTTCTTGCTAGCAATGGACAAAACAGAAAACGGTGTAAAATGAAATTATGAAAAAAAAAAGCGCATTCCATATATATTGAAAGTTGCACAACTCAGAAGCAACAATGCTTAATTAAGCACTGTTTCTACAATGCTTAATTAGACAATGATTGCTTAATTTTTTTGTCATAAACAATCCTTAAAGTTAAATAAGCACTTTTGGAGGCTCTGGGCACTTCACTTGTGGGTAGCACGTGTGCCGTCTCCATCCAACCCAGCAGACATGCCCTCGAGACGCGATGTTTCTTCTCTCGAAATCAAAGGCGCAGTCCGCCGCGATGTATCTGCAAAGGTAGCGGAACTTGTCCAGAAATGTGCCAAAGTGAGAGTCGGATAAAAGGGGGGGAGAAGGCCTAGAATAAATTGCCAAAGTTTGCATCAGCAATACCGTGTGCAGCATCGCTTGCTTGGTAACTTTACCCTTGTGTGCACCTGTGTGGCTGCATAAATTCTAGAAGCATCAGAACCCCCATGCCACCGACGAGAAAAGCTGCGCGCCAGGCATTTGGACTTTTCGGGATCCTGTGTGTTTGCAGGGGCTTTCTGTTTTGCCTTGCTTTCCTTGGGTCTTGTTCTGGGTGTGCCTGACCCTTTTTCTAAATGATGTTTGGAAATTTTTGGGCGGTTCTTTGGCTCAAAACTAAGTATGCGGTCACCTGTGATAGCACATTAGTTCAGAGACAAGGAATGAAAAATTGAGATGCTTAATTTTTCAAGCCAAAAACTTTCCTTGAGCATTCTTTTTGCAATTGCAAACATGTGTTGCCTTGAGACTTGCCTTTGTCTGGATAGTGTTGACAATCCTCAGATGATGCAGCATGGGCTGAGGTGGGAGGGTTGTCCCCATCTTTTGGAGTTGGCGCCTTGTCCCGCCCGCCCATCCCTGGCGCCAAGTCAGGATGTGCAAAAACACTTGCGGAGAAGCAAGGCCTAGAATAAATTGCCAAAGTTTGCATCAGCAATACCGTGTGCAGGGAGAAGGCCTAGAATAAATTGCCAAAGTTTGCATCAGCAATACCGTGCGCAGCATCGCTTGCTTGGTAACTTTACCCTTGTGTGCACCTGTGTGGCTGCATAAATTCTAGAAGCATCAGAACCCCCATGCCACCGACGAGAAAAGCTGCGCGCCAGGCATTTGGACTTTTCGGGATCCTGTGTGTTTGCAGGGGCTTTCTGTTTTGCCTTGCTTTCCTTGGGTCTTGTTCTGGGTGTGCCTGACCCTTTTTCTAAATGATGTTTGGAAATTTTTGGGCGGTTCTTTGGCTCAAAACCAAGGAAGGCGTCCCACAAGCTTTTCAGCACCTTCGCCTTCAGCAGGTCTGCGTGCTGCGAGGTAAAGCACACGCTGATGATAGGAACCTTGCGCTTGATGCACTCCATGATGAGCAAGTGGTCAACATCAGGAGCTCGGAAGACGCCTGCGGGCTTGAAGCTGCGCAGCACCTCAGCCAGGAAGACTGGGCTGCTGAAGTGCCAGGTGGCGTGCGGGCTTTGGCTCGTTGACCGGGCCTGAGCGCATCGCGGATTTGGACGACATGATCTCCATATCTTAGAGGTAGCGTGAAGATATTCAAAGTATTTACTGCAAACTGCGTCCAAGCATCAGGGGCCACCGGTGAGCACCCTACCCTTGTCCCCACACAAGGCTTTCTTGTCGGCAGGGCTCATTCGCCAACAAGCTTTGTCGGTGTAAGGCAGCGCGCGAACTGGACCGATGTGGCTGCCGTGATTCGTCCCGCTGTAGTGCTTCCGCGCAACCTTCTCAATCTCTAACCCCTCAAGGGTGTAGCACATCATGGACTCGGTTTGGTTCACGAACCCGCGAACTTTTTCGCGCCTGTCGACGAGGCTTTCTTCGTCGTAGCAGATTGTGAAGCACTGTCTGCATTTGTTCATCGAGCGGCCCGTCGAGTCAACAAAGGCTTGTGACACCGACGTGTCGTTGCCACTCCGCCCTCCATCCATGTAGATGACGAGGTCCGTCTTCTTCAAATCCCCCTCCTGGGCATTCTCCTGGTCGCCAGGTCCCCGCACTGCCGTGAATGCTTGCAGCATGCGGCGGAAATGCCTCTGCTGGAAGGGTGGCAAACGAATGTTCGGATTCGATGACGCCTCTCCAACCTTCGAGTCGTAGAGCAGCATGCATGGCCCGCTCACCTTTTTCAGCACAGTGGGCTCCAGGACCTTGATCAAGTCATCTTTGCTGTCCTTGCCATGTCAAGTACTACTGACTCAGTCTGACACTGACTGAATTAGCTGATCAGCTGCAAGAAAAGGCAGCTGTTCAGCTGCAAGAAAAGGCAGCTGATCAGCTGCAACTATTAAGCCAAGATGCATGATCCACCACCAAAGCGCAGAATGACTCAAACTTGTTGAGCAGAAAGGTCAGCCAGTCGTCCAGCTTGCCTTCGTCATCGACAGTCTCCAGCTGCTGCGCCGTGCACAAGTCCTTCAACGTCAAGGATTTGCCCTGATTGACGTCCTCATGGGCGCTTCCCGGCTCTTTGGAAGATGTGGCCTGACTTCCTCGATCGCTTCCGACAGGAACTTCACCTGGCTGATCACCTCTGCGACCTCGCAGCTACCCTTCAGCGCCGTCTTCAACGCGCCATCGTTCGTCACGCCAAACACAAAGTTCTCCAGGACGCTCACCATCTTTCGCGTGCTCTCGCGCACCGTGCCCAGGATGGACTTTTCATTCCGCCTGACCAGCTGTCCACCGGTTCTCAGAATAATCAATAAACTAGGTTGCTCACTGAAGTTCTGCCGAGACGCGTGAGATCCCGGAACCCCTTGTGCGTGCGCAGCCTGGCCATCATGGCAGTGTCAGCCTCTGGCAGCTGCAACTTGCCGAGGAAGGGCCCAGGAAGTAGTCCTTCAGATCCATCTTCAGGACCCACAAGTCCACCAGCCCCTTCTGCCGAGGTGCTCCACCCTGCAGTTCAGCACATTCGCTGGCCAAAAAAAAGACAGCAAAGATCAGAACGAAAGTAAGTTGGAGTCAGGGAGCCAGCGAGCGACCTTTGAATTCGTTCGGCGAGCAATCGAGGTAAATCATGAGGTCATCCATCGTCGCCAGAGCCCAAGCGATCTGGTCCGGGTTCTTGGTCTTCTCAAGGATCTATTTGCGAAGTGGGCGACGCCTTGCCGAGCCTGTTGCCCATCACGAACACCATGTCCCGCAAATTCGGCGCCGAGAGGACCCTGTCATACACCCGGATCGCCGTTTGAACGAAGTTCAAAGCGACGTTCTCCGCAAGGGCCGACTTGGACTCCGACACCTGCTGCGACCATGCTTCGTACAGCTCCTCTGCCGCTGACTCCTGGGCGGCCTTGTAGGTTGTCAAGAGACGGCAAGGTGACGTCCCGTGGGACGCTATGCACCGAACCCTCAAGCTGTAATACCAACCATGTAGAAAGGTGTATACGGACGATGCCGTTATAGCCGAACCCGTGTAAACGTTGTAAGGGAGAAGGAATGATAGTTACAACAGTGTTCCTGACAAATGCAGCGCAAGCGAAGTGTTTTCCGCTCTCAATGCCGATCACGTATATACAGTCACACATCAGATCTTGAACCTCAATTGTGTCTTGAGCCAAATGGCGATCAATGGAACTTGGGAAGCAACACCAACAAGGACCTCAGAACAGCTACCCAATTTCGGCACGGGGCCTAGAGGGTTTTAACATCCCCCATTTGGGTCGCATTGTTCATCATGCGGTCCAAACACCACAAAACGTTCCACTGGCCACGGCTTCAACTACGAAATCGTGTCGTGCATTCTTTTACTTGCTATCACTACACCGTCCATTCGTTGTGAAACATGCCGGGTTCGATTGTACGAAAAGTGAAACATTCATCCATCAATCGAAGCACACTTCCATATGCAGGTGTATACAATACACAATCGTCACGTCATTTGACCGCCAACGAACAATCCAGCTGCCGCATTTGCGCATCGCGCAGCTGTCATCCATAAATGGGTTGGCCACAAAAGTCCATCAGAGGGGCCTGCTCGTGATCGGTCTGCATATTTCCGGCAAAGAAACATCGGTGAGTAATCAATGCAAATCATAGCCATTCCAGATACCATGGACAATGCATAAATAATGAAAAGATATCATCTATAAGGTAATAGTTCCATCCATGAATATCCAGAGCGTCATAGTCATCGGAATATGTAACCATGTACACACCCAATCATCTTGGACACATGAATATAAATCATGACATAAGTCGTTCCACCGAAACAGTGTCGATGTGACGCAAGTAACAGATGGGGACTGACCCACATCGTACCGCAATCAGCATCTTCACGAAGCATACCTGTCCCCAATGGACAGCCTATGGGTACGTCGACGGAACTCCTCGTCCAAGTTCTTCTGGGCTTCTCGTGCCCGGACACACTTCTTGTTGCGATCCTCTGGCAACCAGTGCCCTTTCCGAAGGCACCAATCCAGCAGGGGTGTGTCGCACTTGTTCGGGTCGATGGCCGAGATGATGGCGCTCACGTTGACCGTGTAACCATTCTTGCCAAGGTTTAGGCCATCCCTCACGAATGATATATACTTACAGTTGAAAGCTAGTGCAAAACATCTGAAAATAATATCACCCACCGGGTGCACTCGGTCCTTGACCAGGAGCTTCATTTCTTCCTTGGTGACATCGAGGATTCTCGCTGCAATCCACAGCTTGTAGAATGTGTAAAGTCCCTCGCATTTGCACACCATCATACGAATATAATCTTCACGCTCCTCAACCGATCGGAAGGATCTCGTCCGAACATTCTCCGACTGAGAAATTTTCTTCGCTGTTGATGGTAAGAGTATACCTTCCTGATCCTGATCGGTGATGTTGGGGTACCTCTTGAAGTCATTGTGATAAGGGCAGCCCGGCCTCCCTTCGAGTCCGGCATTCATCGTTCTCTCCTCACCACCTTCAAACATCCCCCACATCTTGGACAGCTGGAGTGCGATAAATCCTGCCATGTACTGAGCCTCACGCGGCTCGTCAAGGCAGATCGCCATCCGTTGGGAACTTATAATGTCCCGTGACGCCAGATCAGTGTCGCGGTAATGCCAACCGCTGTCTTCTTCTTCTGACGCATAGCCGGATGTATATCCTTGCGTGTCCATATCGTCATCTTCTCCCGGAACTTCCTCCGCTTCGTCTTCATCCTCCTGTGCTGCCGCATCGTGGTTAGCTTCTTCCTGTGCACGCCTGGCATCTCCAGAGACGTTGGGGTTTTGGTTTTCCTCCTCGTCATCGGAGTTGATGTGGATGTAGTACTTCCGATGGAGATCAGTTGTGCCTCGCACTCCAGGCATAAGCAGAAGCAGGTGGGGATCGCGGTCGCACATGATGGACATATCCGGCACCTCAGTCCTTCCCATGTCTCATCATTCAGGATGACGACTTTGCTGACTTCGTCCCGGACCTCGTTGACCTGTGCGTTGAACTCCTCCATCTTGTTGTTTCGATAGAGTTCGCAGGCACGATTAACCATGTCAACGATGTAGTGCAGATTATCGGCACCTGTCTCAGTCTCCGGCATCCTCTCGCTGATCTTTGTGACGTTCTGGAGGAACATCGCAGCCGACTCTTGGGATGAGTTGACGAAGCCAGGGCAGATCTCGTTCTCCACACACTTCGAGTACGCTCTCTTGACATCAACGTACTCCAGGCGTTTCCCTCCGTTGCTTTTGCCAATCCAAATGGACTTGACCTCATAGAACGGGATCACGTCAAAGACCATGAAAGTCCCATTTGCCGCGACTCCAGCTCCATACCGCGCGAGGGTTGCACTGGGAATGTAGATGATCGCAATCGGGTCCCCCTTCCTTACGTTCCGCAGCGTCACCTTTGTTGCCACGTTCATCTCATCCCATGGAGCGAACGCTCCGAAGTGCAGTGCTAGCCTGTTACCGCCATCGATTCCGCCGGGGACTAACCCACAGCGTACGATGCTTGGCAGATTTTCCACATACGTCACATGGAATGCTCCTCCGAGAGAATCACCCATCCTTGCGGAATACCTATTTGCCAGTGCGGATGAGCTCATGAATCCAAAATCACTGTGACCAGTTGTGACTCGGATGCACCAAGGTCTGTACCATCCATCGCATCTGTTGAACATCCTGTCGATGTCGTCCCGATCCATGCCAGCTTTGGTCATTTCCTCCCTGGCCGCCTTGGTGTCGTTCGGGTTCATGATGCTTGGAAACCTTGCTGCCAGGACCTGAAATCTCGATTTCTTGCTTCCAGATTCCTGCCACTTGATCACCTCCATGATGCCCATGTATCGCTTCGCTCTCGAGGTGCCTGGTGGGAATATGTCGTTGTTCCGGTCGTCAATGACTGCATCAATGTCGACCCATCCACCTTCGTCGCACCTGAAAGCACTTCCTCGGCAATTGCCGATTTTGTGTCGAAGGACTCGGCATAGGTCATGAGATAGCTGGTTTGCTTGGTCTTTCGTAGCACATACCGAGCGATCATCGCCAATCCTGCACAGTGGAGCGCCGTCAAAAGGAGCAACGCAGAAATTGACACTCTTGCCAAGCTGCATCACGTCCACCTGCTCAAGGATGGCACCTTTGGGAAAGTATTTGGGGACGCATACGCCCATGGCAAGTGCACATCACTCACGTCGCCGTACTTCGGGATGTAGCACGGGATGGTGTCGCATCCCATCTCAAGCGTCTTCTTGAATGTCCTGTTGTCCCCGCACGGGTTGTAGGTGAGGTCCACTCCACCACATTGTAGCTCTCCTCCCTCTGCCGTGTCAGCCATCTCCACCAAGTTGATGGTATAGCTATACATCTCAATTGTTTCTTTCTTTCCCTGCTTGTCCTCCTCTCTTTCTTTCCTTGGACGTTGATGAGGACGGCTCCTCCGTATCCCCCATGTCTTCATCTGATGAAACAGGGTCACTGCTGAGTAGCTCACGGAGCACCTTCATCGCCTTCTCATTTCCAGCAGCCTCCTCAACGTCTTTGCAGTCGCCATCGTGGGCCAGGTTCGCGCACTTCTTGCAGATTCCCATTTCTCCCATGCACTTCTCCATTGACTCCAGGAATCCTAGTGCCGCTCTCCGCCCGTCGATCACTCGCTGCTTCTTTTCTTCCTTCTCAGCGTTGGGCTGAGAGCTTCGGCTCGGGTCTGGTGCTTGACCAAGACCGTCACCTTCGCCCTCCGTTGCCTTTCTCTTGGACCCTTGGGCAGCAGGCTCGGTTATCAGGGATCGCGGGTGTCTGGGCTTAGCCTTGTTCATGATGTCCAGCACTTCCTTCGTGGGCGCCCCGAGTTGTGCGGAAGGTTTGTTCCGCTTTCGGTTCTGGCCCGTCGTGTGGGTCACGTTCCCGGCGAGGTGTCGTACGATTGACTGCTCGAACTCCCTCTTGATCTTCCACACGTCCTTCCACAGTGGCAGTTCGTGCTGAAAGTACGACATCACCTCAAAGAACCCCAATACCATCTCGACGACGTCTCCCAAGGATTCCTCGTTTGAGGTTTGT